TACATACATGCACATATGTACACATATGCCCCACGGCACTCGTGTGAAGATCAGAGGACAACCTGTGGGGAGTTGGTTTTCTCATTTTTCCATGAGAACTGCAGAGATCGAACTCAGGTGGCAAGTGCCTTTACCTGTTGAGTCATCTCAGTGGCCCTAAAATCATTTTCTTTAGATGTTTAGACCCCTATTAAACCAATCTTCCAGTATCCAAGAATACTTTCTTAAAAACAATAGGAAATTGCTGATAGGTCCATCTTATTGAGCTGGGGGTGAGGTTTCAGAGCCTTAAAGGTAGAGCTTCTGTTCACAGTCATCGGCTTTTTAGGCGGTTTTGACAGGTTCTGTTTGAGGGGCATCTGCTTTGGTTACTGCAGACCCAAGGTAGCTGAAGACAGAGAAGGGGCAGCCAGACCTCAGAAGGTTAATTCAGATCAGCCCTGAGCACTAAGGGGAGATGGCCATAAGGCAAAAAGGTCACAAGTGGAAATTAGCAAATAACCACAAAAAGCAAAAATTGGGGCTGGAGAGATGGCTCAGTGATTGTTCTTTCAGAGAACCTGGGTTCAGTTCCCAGTACCCTCATGGTGGCTCACAATCATCTGTAACTCCAGTTCCAGGGAATCTGATGCCCTCTTTTGGCCTCCAAAAACACTGTATGCATGTGGTGTACTTACATGCATGTCAGCGAAATATTTTATTATTTTTATTTTATGTGTATGTATGTATTGCCTGCATGTATGTAAGTGCATCCATGCCATGCAATGCCTGTGGAGGCCAGAAGAGGGCATCAGATACCCTGGAAATGGAGTTATAGATGGTTGTCAGCTGCCATGTTGAGTGCTGGAAAGCAAACCCAGGTCCTCTATAAGAGCAGCCAGTGCTGTAAACCGCTAAGCCATTTCTCCAGCCCCTCAAAAAAAATTAAGCAAGTTGAATTTTAGAAACATTAGAAAAACAAGCCAGCAACAGCAACAATAACAACAAAAAAACCTCATACCCAGAAGCATCTATGTTGCAAATTCCTAAAATCTTGTGGTTCAATGTAAGGAGTGGTCCCCTTAAAAATGAAGAGGGGAAGCCAGGCATGGTGGCACACGCCTTTAATCCTAGCACTTGGGAGGCAGAAGCAGGCAGATCTCTGTGAGTTCAAGGCCAGCCTGGTCTACATAGTGAGTTCCAGGACAGCTGGGGCCATAGGGAGACCCTGTCTCAAAAAGACCAAAAAAAAAAAAAAAAGAAGAGGGCATTAAGTCAAGGGCGGTGTGTCCTGAAAGCACTCCTCTAAGAGGGGACACTGAGAGGGCTCAACACCTAACCCTGCAGTATTAGTTACTTGCCTCATTTCTGTGACCAAACACTTGACAAGAAGTAACAGAAGGAAGGGTTTGTTGGGGCTCCTGGTTTGAGGAAATAAAGTCCAGTTGTTGGAAAAGGCACAGTGGCAGGTGGCTTCCAGCAGCAGGCGTTTGTGGCTGTGACACTTCACATCCCAGAGGAACAGCAAGTGAAGAAGGGAGGGAATGCCAGAGTTCATCTGGCTTCTTCTTTCTCTGTTTTTATTCAGTCCAGGACCCCAGGCTATTGGATAGTGCCACCACATTCAAATGGGTTTTCCCTCCTCAATTAAACCTCTCTGGAAACACCCTCATAGACTTGTCTAGAGGTGTGTCTCCTAGGTGATTCCAAATCCAATCAAGTTGACAATGGGGATTAACCATCATACCTTGCTTTGTTTTCTTCCTCTGTGAAACTGAGTCTGTTTTAGTTTTATGACTCTGAGGAAAGGGTAAAAGAAAAAGGGCTTGCTCACATCTGCCCAATGTCTGCTGTCCAACATGCAACCAGAACAGGCTAAGAGCACTTGGTTTTCCAGAGGAGGTTGCCATGTAAATATGGGGTGGGCTAAAACTCAAAATAAACACCCACTCCAACCAGAATGAAGCCTTTCATTCATAGGAGGCAAGCACAGGCAGGAAGGGGGTGCTGGCTCTCCTCGACAGCAGACACACTGGAGACTGTCACAGAAAACCACCATCTCCATGGGCTACCCGAGTTTGGCTGCTGCCCCTTCCTCTCCACCTGGACCCAGATAAGCAGTGTTCTGACTGGATCTCTCTTCAAGATATTCAAAACACGACGACACGAACCTTGCTCTGCTGCTATGAACAGGGAGCTCCAGGGAACAGTTCAGTGGGACTTGCTGGCTAGTCAGTGCCTGGGTGGTGAGCTTGCCCCATGCCCCATGCCCCATGCTTTCCAGGGAACTGGCTATGGTCATATTTTCACACCCTCAGGGTGGTAGCATTAGGAGGTGTGGCCTTGGGGAGGAGACTCTGAATGGGATTACTATGGTGTTCTTACAAAAGAGGCCCCTAGAGCTTGCCTGCCTATTCCCCCAATGAGGATGAAGCAAGAAGTAAACAGCTGTCGCCAGACACCAAGTCTGGCAGTACCTTGATCTTGAATGTCTAACCTCCAGAAATAGGAGGAATACATTTCTATTATTTATAAGCTGACTAGTCTATGGCATTTTGTTGTAGCAGTCCCAATGGGCCAACGGAGAACCCTAACTTGCCTTTCCTGCTTCCACTGGAAAGCAACTACGGATCTGAGGCTGTGGCCTTCTGAACTTCATCCTTTATGATTGGAGTGAGCTCCAAGTGAGTAGTGGACCAGAATAAACCAGATCCAGGCCTTCATAAGACCTGGTGTTTTCCCTTACATCTGCAGCAATGCCTTCAGGAAACTTCCATCCAGTGAGAATTAAATAATACTTTCCAGGGAGTAGAGGTTTGAGGTCTCTGGTTCACCCATGTGCAGGGACTTCAACTGTGCATGCCTATCTATCCTGGGGCTGTTGTCTAACTAGACCTTAGCAAGGTTGTGTAACAAGCCCTCACCTCAAACTATGCTTCTTTTCCTCTGTGGGAAGCAGACTGTAAATTAGGAGGAAGGCTGTAGATTCTTAGTCACTGGGCATGTGTGTGCTTAAACCCCTCATAGCACTAATTTTTAAAACCACCAATCATCCAATGGGTGACTTAGTCTATAATTTTACCATTTATTAAAGATGAAAGCAAATATGGATTCCAAAGAGATGGGTGTACTTGTTTATTTTTACACAAAGAATTAAATCTTGGCTGAATATTTGAGACTGAAGGATAAGGAACATCTTCAACATTTTCCCAAGCTGAGCATGGTGGCATAGGCCTTTAATCCCAGCACTTGGGAGGCAGGGGCAGGTGCATCTCTGTGAATTCGAGGCCAGCCTGGTCTACATAGTGAGTTCCAGGCCAGCTGGGCCTATAGGGAGACCATATCTCAAAAAGACCAAAAAAATTTTTTTCCCAACATGATTGATATTTTGATTTTTATAATTGTCCACACTGAGCACACCCCTTCACAGAAACATATAGTACCAACTGGTAGAAATACATTCAAGACCAATTCAGAAGTGGTTGGAAATTCTGTCCTAATGCAAAATTCATTGAATTTTTTTTTTTATGAAACGTTAGTCAGCAACTTTAACTATTTTTGATTTTCAAATTTTTATTTGTATTTGTGGTATATGCATGTGCACGTTTGTATATACATGTCCAGGTGCATGTGTGTGTGTGCATGTGCGGGTGAAAAGGCTAGGGGCCCATGTCTGTTATCTTTCTCCATTTCCTTCACCTTATTTTCTGCGTTTCTCACTGAACTGTAGCTTCCTGATTGGCTTGGCTGGCTGGCCAGCAAATTCCTGGGATCCTCCTGCCCTGCCCCCACGCACAGCGAAGGGGTTACAGACTCCTGCTTTTCCATGGTTGCTGGAGATCCAAACTCAGGTCCTCATGCTTGGGCAGCAGGCTTGAGCCATCTTCTCAGACCCTTAAACGATTTTTTAAAATATTTTATTTATTGAGCCAGGTGTGGTGGCCCACGCCTTTAATCCCAGCACTCGGGAGGCAGAGGGAGGAGGATCTCTGTGAGTTCAAGGCCAGCCTGGTCTACATAGTGAGTTCCAGGACAGCTGGGGCTACAGAGAGACCCTGTCTCAAAAAGACCAAAAAAGCTTTTTTAAAATTTATTATTTATTTTTATTTTATGTGTATGCGTGTAGTGCCTGCATGTAGGTAAGTGCACCCGTGTCGTGCAATGCCCACGAAAGACAGAAGAGGCCTTCGAATCCCCTGGAGCTGGAGTTTCGGACACTTGTTAGCTGCCATGTGGGTGCTGGGAATCGAACCTGGGTCCTCTGCAAGAACAGCCAGTGCTTTTAACCGCTGAACCATCTCTCCAGCCCCCCCTTAAATGATTTTTAAAATCAAACACTCTGCCTCAATAAACCATACTAAATTTATACGTGCTGAGGACTAATGGGAAATATTAAAAGTCTTTGTTTCCTATAATTAAATCATTATGTGTCTGTAAGTGCAGAAAACTGAGTGTGCACAGTAAGAATGCTTCAATTCATGACCTAGCCTGAAATTCAAGCCGCGGTGTCCCTGGTGTTTCCATCAGAGACACCTGCGCTGTGCTCAGGAAACCCTGACAGCATCTGAGACGGTACCAGAAGTACCTCAGGTATAATACACTTGGTTTTGAATTAATTTTTGGTTGTGTGCTTTTACCACCGCCAGATTCAGTTACTCAACCTCCATCCATAACTTGATGCACAGTCTTCCAACCTTGTCCACACTAGCCCTGTCCTCTGCCTGTCCTGGAGGAAGGTTGCCCGTGTGTGGGCTTTGAGATAGGGCAGACCTAGGTTAGGCTCACCAATCCGCTACTTGTTGCTCCTGCTGGAAAAAGGGGACCGAGACCAGTTGAGCATTCCAGGTTGGGCATCTGCTGCCCTTCCCCGCGAGGTTGCCGAGGATGCCCGCGCAGCGGTCGGCGTCGCGCCCGGCGTCCTCCGGGAGCCGCGGCTTGGGCGTGCTCCCAGGCGCATTCCTAGCCCGGCAGCCCCTCCTCCCTCGGCCTCGGCCAAGGGGCTGGCGCCTCCTCCCCGCCTCTCCCCGACTGCATCTTGCGGGCGGCTGTGGACGCTGGTGGCTGGCGGAGCTCCCGGAACCCGCGCGCCGCGCACCTGGACCGGAGACAGCTCTGGGGCTGCGCGCGGGGCGAGGCGACTCTCATCCCAGCCCGGCGCTGCGCATCGCACGGACCAGAGGGGCAGGCGAGGCGCACAGTGACCTCCAAGTTTCGGGCAGCGAGGCTGCGATCCTCAAGATGGGGCCCTGCGCTCCGCGCGCGCTCCTCCTCCTGCTGCTCCTCGCCGGCCCCTGCGCGCGGGCTTTCCAGGTCAGTGTTCCCGCAGCCGCTCTCTCTTGTCCGGCTTGCATTGTCGAGTCCAGGGCTTGCCACGTTCCACTCGGATGCTGGGGTTGAGAGAGAAATCTTGGACTAGGTTTCCGTTTTCCGAGAAGAGAGTGGGGTCCCTTTCTGTCACCGCAGATGCCAGGCGCCTGGGCGGACCAGGCTGCTGCCGCAGTTTCAGCTAGGAAGAACAGCTCGGCGTGGGAATCTCCGGGAGGTCAAAGTGGTCCCGGGATTTCTGAGACATTGGACTTTTGTGGGGCTCTATGGAAACACCTGGCCACCAAATTAGGCTAGAGAATGCTAGAGAATGTCTCTGTCCTCCAAACCTTCAGCGCTTACTTTTCTAACTGAAACATCCTTCCCACCCCGCACATTAACCATCCACAGACCTTTTTAGGAGTTTGTCCCATTTCCAGGAAGAGGTGACCCAGGGGATTCTAAGTAGGTCGCATCCCACATCCTGAGCTTCCAAGGCCTGGACTACACTGCCTTGTACACATATACAGGCAGTAGACTGTTTACACTCTCTCTCTCTCTCTCTCTCTCTCTCTCTCTCTCTCTCTCTCTCTCTCCCTTGTTCCCTCCCTCCCTCTTTGTCACTTATATGTGTCTGAGTCCCACTGGATTTATTTGTTTAATCAGATTCATTTCTTACCTTAGCCATTAGGAACTGATTTTTAAAATTAAGACTGTAGGGGGGGAAAAAACGCATTTAATGAACTTGAAATTGCCAAGTTCAGAATCACCATGCATCAGACTAGCTCTGGCAGCCAGAGTCTCCTTACCTCTGTGAGGAAACTGGCAGAGTGGAAATCAGCCAGCCACTACAACCATGCCAACAGCTGCAAAAACAGCAGCCGGATATAGAGGGAAGCTGGGAGCTGGCTAAGAGTCTGCACCCCTCCTGAGGGTCAGCATCTCATTGCTGAGGATCAGCATCCCTCCTGAGGGTCAGCATCCCTGTTGAGGAGGTCAGCATTCTAGGATCCTGAGAGTCGGCATCCCTTTGGAGAGTCGGCATTCCTCCTGAGAGTCAGCATCCCAGGATCCTGAGGGTCAGCATCCCTCCTGAGAGTCAGCATCCCAGGATCCTGAGGGTCAGCATTCCTCCTGAGAGTCAGCATCCCAGGATCCTGAGGGTCAGCATCCCTCCGGAGAGTCAGCATCCTTGCTGGTCTTCTTCAAGGTGCTTATTTCTCAGAGCAACCATGTAAAGTGGCACCATGGTTGTTCCCATTTTACAAGTGAAAGAATGGAGACACGGAGAGGTTGTGACTTATATCAGGTCATACAGTCAGAAGTGGTATAAATTCAACCTCTGGTTGAGCTTTTGCCTGCTGATCCTTGTCTATAAATTCTTGGGCACAGGTAAGCCTGTCCTGGGTCACCTAGAAACTCCCTCGGGTGCAACAAGAGTTTCCAGGCCCAGAGAATTTGTTTTAGATCAGACCTGGTGATGTTAGTGTAAAAGGTAGCAAGTGGGCGTCACAGGAAGCCACTCAGCGGCCAAATGGCAGAGGCCCAGTCTGAGCTGCAGAGAACCCACCCACAAGAGCAGCGGGATCTCCCTAGGTTTGCAGATTACAAAACCAAACCAACCTGCACCCCAAGCCAAAGTCCAGAAGCACAGAAGATACACCCTCAAACTGGCTCCTCTGCCCTGGATGTGGGAGACCAGCCATCTTGTGATCTAAGCAGACCCTCTGGAATGAAGCAGGCGCCTGCCATGGGAGGTTATGGGGAAAACAGTGAGAGCACGGTAACTGGTGCATCTTCTGCAGAGGCAGCAGTGAGCTTGCCCCAGCTTGTTTATGTTCCTGAGAGAACAGGACCCAGTTAGCCCTGCTCTGTCTAGGCTTCCTCAGCTCTACCTCTTCACTGTGTCTTCTTTACTTGCAAAACACCTGTTGCATGTGAGATCAAAGGGAGCAATAAGATCAACCATAGATATTCATTTCAAAGTTCTGGTGAAAGCACATGGTTGGGGCTCCCAGCCCTTCCAGCCCCAGGCTGGGTAAGCCTGAGGGGTAAACCATAGGGAGGTCTCTGGCAGCCATACATGCTGGAGCATTACCTCATTCCTTCTCACCTTCAGATCTCTGCTCCCATAAGGACCTCTTTGCAAAGGCTTTCCAGACCCCTGCTCTCCACGAATGCCCTCCCTGCATCTCTTTTCCTATTATGGTCTCCTGACGTGCATTGGAATAGAACACGTCACCATTTGCCAGTGATAGGCAGCCTCTGGGCAGATCTTGGTTGCATATCACATGATCTGAGGAGCTTCTAGAAGTCCTGATGCCAGCCTCACTCCAGCAGCTCTGATTTGGTTGGTCCTCCTGCATCTCGGGCTAGGATCCCTAGTGGTTCTGACAGAGAGGATGCCTGAGACCCAGGGCAATCCCATCTTTCAGTCACTTGGTGGAGACAGTTACAACCCAGGGGGAGGGCTGGGGTCAGAGGAATTCACAGCAGATGCAGGAGGGGACTCATGAGGACCTTAAGTGACAGAGTGTGCCTGGAGTGCACCTGACACTGAGCCCCAGGACTCTCGAACCTAACAGTGAGACTGGCTGACAAGTGCTAAGAAGGAACTTGACCCACAGATCATCTCTTTGCATGGAGGAGATAGGATGGGATGGAAGGGACTTCACCAGCAAAGGCCCAAGGACCTCTAGGTGGAGGCAGTGGGCACTCCTCTGGAGGAACCCTGTCTGGGGTTCCTCTGTTTGCCTGTAATGTTCTCACCTTGTTGTCTTAGATGACATCTCAGAGTAACATTATGAGTATCTGTGTGGGTGTGTCAGTGTGTCTGTATTACTGTGAACACATGTGTCTATGTGAATTCATGATTGCCCTGTATGTGATACAAGTGTATGTGTGTGTATATGCATCAGGATATGTGAGCATGTGTGTGTAAATGTACTATGTTACTGTGTGTATATATCAATGCATGGTTATGTATGATGTGAGTATAGTGTGTTTACTGCTGTGTATCAATGTGTTAATATGTGGTTGCACTATATATGATGTGGGTATGTATGTGTGTGTGTTTGTCAAGATTTATGAGTGTTATGGTATGTATCTGTGAATGTGATGTTGAGTATATACATGTACATATGTTGGAGCATGTGACTGTGCATTATGGTGTGTGCATATGTGTGAAATCATGGTTGTGTGACAGTAGATATGTCTGTCCAGCTAGGTGCATGTGTTACAGGGTGGTGAGACCTGGCTTTCTGCCATGTCTGCAGCAGTGATGCTGTGGGTCTGGAAAGTATCACCTGGAGCAGTGATGCTGCCGGTCTGGGCCGGTATCACCTGAAGCAGTGGTCCTGAGGGTCTGGGCAGTATCATCTTTCTCTTCTGCTCTGTGACATTCTGCTGTGTTACTCTTGTCAACACATTTGTCCTGAGTCATTTTACAGGTGTTTTGTGACCAGTTGATAGACAGCAAGTGATTGTAGAGAAGGAAAGGCAAAGCACTGTGCACGAGGGTTTTCTTAACACTATGCTCAGTCTCGGGTCTTCTAACTGGAAGAGAATCAGTGCCACTGGGAAAGCAAACAGGAGGATTGTAGAGCCCCCATGTGTCACCCGATCACCCACAGGTCCCTGAGGATCAACAAGTGTAGGCTCCCAGCCTCCACTGAGCCTGCAGAGTGTTGTATGATTTCCCTCATCCTCCGCAAACCTCTGTATCATCAGAGATCTTAGCACTCCAAATGCTACCATTAGGCTTTTTTGGTACATTTTCTTAAAAATATTTTATTTATTATTTATATTTTATGTGTATACATGTATTTCTTGCATGTATATAAGTGCCCCCATGTCATGCAGTGCCAGCAGAAGATAGAAAAGGCATTTGATCCCCTGGAACTGGAGTTATGGATGGTTGTTAGCTACCATGTGGGTGCTGGGGTTCAAACCTAGGTCCTCTGCAAGATCAGCCAGTGCTCTTAACCACTGAGCATCTCCCCAGCCGTGGTACTTTTTTTTTTTTTTTTTTTTTACAATTAAGTAAAACCTAGTAATTGTAGTGTATATTTCCATGTTTTTAACTATAGAAGTGTGTTCTGTACATGGGAACCCTCATGCAGTCAGGACACAGACCCTCAGAACTACACATGGCAGCCCTGCAATATTGATCTGATCTTATCTACAGCACCATAGCACAGCACTGATGTGCCATAAACAAAACGAAGAGCACACGGCCTTTCTGTTGGTCTCTTTAACCTGGTGCAGTACAGCTGTGCCTTTGTAGCACCAAATATTGTCCCAGTGTGTAGAGTTAAACTACAGATTATCAGTTCATCCACTGAACATCCATGGTGTCATTCCTAGGTTTTAGCAACCATGAGTGAGCTTCTCTAAAAACACTTGCAGGGCCAGGGCAAAGGCTCAGCAAGTAAAAGTGCTTGGCATGTAAGCCTTATGATCTGAGTTCCATCCCTGGAACACACATAAAAAGCTGGATGACCTCCACATGTGTGGTGGCATGTGCTTCCATACACAAATAAATAAGCATACAAAAATCTGGGACTGGAGAGGTAGCTCAGCAGTTGAGAGCACTGGCTGCTGTTGTTGGGGACTGGGGGTTGGTTCCACATGATAGCTAACAAGCATCTGTAGCTCCAGTTCTAAGGGTTCTGATACCCTCTTCTGACCTCCACAGGCATTGCATACATGCAGGCAAAATACTCATCATAATATAAAAATAAATGAATTTAAAAATTTTAAAAAATATTTATTATTTTTATTTTATGTGTATGAGTGTGTTGCCTGCATGTATGTGAGTGCACCCATGTTGTGCAATGCTGCAGAGGTCAGAAGAGGGCTTCAGATTCTCCTGGAACTGGAGTTAAGGACGGTTCGTAGCCACCATGTGGGTGCTGGGAATCGAACCCGAGTCCTCTGTAAGAGCAGTCAGTGCTCTCAATCCCTGAGCCATCTCTCCAGCCCCTGAATTAAACTTTTTAAAAAAT